AAGGTGGGTTGCTCTGTGAGAGAAGAAGAAACGATTTCCATCCCTCCTTCAATGTATACCGCAGGGCCTCCTGCACCAGCCAGAGGTCAGCAGCCTCTGTTTCACTTTAGGGCTGCTGCCTGGAGGAGTGTGGGCACGGGCTGGCTCTCTGAGAAAAGGGGGAACGGGGAAAGGTGCTGGGATGTGCCTCCCGACCTGCCTCCCAAGGGATACGGTCCTCCCTCTTGCCTTACACCCCTCTCTCCGTCATTTCTCCCCCATCAATCCCAAACCCAGGCTTCCTCTCTGGGCCCCCTTCCTGCACAGTGGGGTTGGATAGCAGGCAGGGAGGTAACCTGTGAGTTAGGGGCTCCTGGGTTCACAAGGTGAATGCTAGCAATTCATTTTACAGAAGAAACCAGAATGTGTGATTTTTACTTCTTCTCCGCTCTTACTGTCTCCCCACCATGAATTTAAAAGCTTGCAATTACTATGAGCACTTCTACTAATAAAATGAAGCCCAGAGCAAAAGCATAATAAATAGTTTAGACTCCCAAAGCAAACGCTTCAGAAAGATCTAAAGTAAATAGATCTCCAGTCCCCTCCCTCCTGACCGAGGCAGGCCATTTGGTCATAATTTATTCTTGGGGAGAGGAAGGAAGCAGAGAGCCGTCAGGCCACTTTCTCCCTTGCTCTGATTCCAGAATATTCTTTATTGCCGTTCGCCTTTTCTTTCAAACCCGACCTGGCCTCATGAGAAATGAGCCCTCGTCTCTGAACAAGCCAAGTAACTCGTCCTCCGAGAGTCTGGAAGCACCCAGCGAGTTCAGAAGGCTGCATCTTCCACGCTAATTCTCTTGGTGCCCTTCCGGTCTTTGAAAATCGAGTTTTCATTAATCAGAGTCTTTAACCTGTGGCTCTAAGCTTTGTACTATCAGCAAACTACCAGCTGCTAAAACAGGCTTTGACATAATTCTCTTCTTTCATGTATCTTGCATACTGGCTCCAAGATCTGTACACATTTCTCTGGGCATGTTAAAAAGAAAGCAACAAGTCTGTATGCAGCTGTAATGCGATACAAGGTGCTAAGACTTACAGGATCTAGGCCTTACCTTCCAGAGACTTACAGTCCAGCTGGGAGTGCAAAACACAAGCAAATAGAAAGCGCCTTAATCATGGGAGGGGACGCTGACTGTCACACACACGCCCAAATTTTTAAAAATTCTTTGTTTTGACTTTCTCAAACAACTTGTTCGTCTTTGGTGCTTATGGTAGATAACCATGGATGGCTCTATCGACCTTCATTCCACCTTCCCGCCTGTGCAGGAGGTTAGGAAGCTGAAAATGTGCTTTCCTAGACCGCCTTGCAGCTAGATTTGCAAAGTGAGGTGAGGAGAAGCAAGGGTGAGGAGATTGTTTCGAGGCGTCCAGTAGCCAGACCCAGGCCCAGTGTCCAGGCACCAGCTTCGTGGCTGAAGAGGGCGCTGTGGTGGCTTCAGTCACGCAGCTCGTTCACGGCTGGGCATTAACCACCACGTAGCGCCGTATGAATGGATGCTGCTACTCTGCTGCAGAAGGGGGATGAACAGCAGGCTGGGGTTCGGACCAAATTTGGACAAGGTCCCGTTTCACCTCTGGTTCGCTCGGGGGCTGTGCAAACCATTATGCCTCTCTGTGCACTGACCGTTCCTCTGGGGTAACAAGGACGGTACCAACGACTCTTCTTGTAGACTTCCCTGCAGGTGGACGCAATTCCTAGAAGACACGGTCACACTGCCCTTTACAAGTGGCTGAGAGCCCTAGCCAGTTTGGCTCAGTGGATAGAGCTTCGGCCTGGGGACCAAAGGGTCCTGGGTTCAATTCTGGTCAAGGGCACGTACCTTGGTTGCAGACTCCTTCCTGGTCCGGGCCCTGGTCGGGGCTCGTGCAGGTGGCAACCGATCGATGTGTTTCTCTCACCTTGATGTTTCTGCCTTTCCCTCTCTCTTCTCCTCTCCTAAAAATCAACGGAAGGAACACCAATTAGAAATGATATATGCACCCCTGTGTTCATAGCAGCACAATTCACCATAGCTAAGATTTGGAAACAGCCTAAGTGCCCATCAGATCCAGAGACAGAGAAACATTGATCAGATATATCAAACCTCAGAGGGAGGGTAGGGGAGGGTGGGGGCCAGGGGGAGAGATCAACCAAAGGACTTATATGCATGCATATAGGCCTAACCAATGGACACAGACAACAGGGGGGTGAGGGCATGAGTTGGGGGGATGGAGGGGGAATGTTGGGATAAGGACACATATGTAATAACTTAATCAATAAAGAAATTTTTTTAAAAAGAAAAAAGAAAAAATATCCTTGAGTGAGGATTAAATAAATAATAAAAGGGACTGAGAACCCTGACACTATCCCATGAGCCACTTCCCCAGAGGAGCATCCATTGACCCCAAGCACTTTGGAGCAAGGGACGAATTCCTGGATGCAGTGTAGACATGGCCGTTGAATATGCAGTGGGGACATGGCCAAAGGTACATCTCTTTCCTTTGTTCCATGTGGTTCCTATTTATGTAGAGCGCCATGGTTATTCATGATGCTTTACAAGGGATAACAACACGGTCTCCACCCTATAGGATTTACAGCGCAATTTAAACAGACACGCTGCATGGGCTGACAGTCAGGCACGCCAGGAGGTGGGTGTGGAGGGTTTCTTCTTGAGTTATAAATACTTTCCAGTTACAGGGGCCTTTCATCTGGGATCCCCAAGCACTTTAGAATAGCAATAATCTCGATTGCTTTCTAAATGCACTTCCCATAAACTGCTGTGGGAACTGAGTAAATGCTTTTAACTGTCTATTAATTGATCTGTACATCTGTTCATTGTCCATATTAACCAGTGTGGATGTACACACGACAGTTTAGGAGAGGCCCGTGATGGGCTACGGTCTGGCTGCTCATATATTACCCTAGAGGCCTGGTAGCCTTGCCACAGTGTTTGGGGGTGGCGGGGGGCGGGGGATGAGCACCTGAGTATTGTCCCAGGTGAGATGTCCACTCGGCTTAGTCTCAGAAAGGTGACCTTTTTGTGGGTGAATTCACATTTCCAAATCAGGTGGTCTCAGAGAATGAATTTCCCCCGGAGAGACTGGGAGAAATTCTTTTCCAGACTAAATAATATCCCATTAGCCCTAGCCGGTTTGGCTCAGTGGATAGAGCATTGGCCTGCACACTGAAGGGTCCCAGGTTCAATTCTGGTCAAAGGCATATATGCCCAAGTAGTAGGCTCGATCCTCAGTGTGGGGCATGCAGGAGGCATTTGATCAATAATTCTCTCTCATCATTGGTGTTTCTATCTCCCTCTTCCTCCCTCTCTGAAATTAATAAAAAAATATAAAATAATAATAATATTCCATTGTCTGTATACATTGATTTTGTTCATGCATTCATCTGTCGGACACCTGAATTGCTTTCATGTTTGGGCTATTGTGAAGAATGCTGCTCTAAACTTGGGTGTTTGAATATCTGTTTGAATCCCTGATTTCACTGCTTTGGGGTTATATACCCAGAAGTGGAATTGTGAAGTGAAATTGCTGGATCATATCATACCTCTATGTTTAATTTTTTTTAATGTGCTTTTATTGATTTTTCAGGGAGAGAGAGAGAGAGAAAGAGAGAGAGAGACTGATGTGAGAAGTGTTGATCAGTTGCCTCCCATCCAGAGACCAAACCCCAAACCTGACTGGAAATGGAACCGGTGACCTTTGAGTGCACAGGATGAAGCTCAATCAACTGAACCACCCCAGCCAGGGCTGTTTAAGTTTTTGAGGAACTGCCATACTATCCCCTTTGCACAGCGGTTACACCATTTGACATTCCCACCAACAGTGCACAAGGGTCCCAATTTCTCCCTGTCCTCCCCATCACTTGTTCTTTTCTGTAGTTGTTTTTTGGGGTATTTTCTTTGTGTGTGTGTGGGGGGGGGGTGTTTTTTTCCATAATAGCCATCCTAATGGATGTTGAAATTGTATTTATTGTGGTTTTGACTAAATTCCACAATAAAGTTTTGAGCCTCTATGTTCACTGTCTTGATTCCTGATAATGAACCCAACCTGATGATACAGCATGACCTCCATGTCTTCCTCAGGAGGCTTGAGCCTGCTTCCTGGGAAAGGTGGAGCCACAGAGGGAGATCTAAAGGGTAACTGGGCCCGCGGCCTCTTAGACTTCTTCATGCAGGTCAGCGGGGGACACTCCCACAGGCTGCCATGGGGGTTCAGCTATAGGTGACAGGCCAAAGTAGGGCCACAGATCACAGCAAAGGCATCTTTTTGTTCCCTGACACCCCCACCCCCCACCCCGCCTCCTGTCCTCACAGTGTCAGCATCCAGGAGAGCCAAGCAGTCTGGGCCAGAGCAGTGCTTCTCACAGCCGATGCCACTGGCATTCAGAGTCGGACGGTTCTTCATTACGTGGGACAGTCTCACACACCACAGAGCCTCCAGCATCCCAGGCCCCTGCTTGCTCAATGCCAGTGTTGGCCTCCAGCCATTGTGGCAACCCAATGCCCCCCAATTGTACCTCCCAAGTAGCCCCTCTCTGGAGATGGCATTCACCTAGGTGGTAAGCAGGTATGCAAAGCTCTCTGGAGATTCCCAGGATCTCACACTCACTCGTGCAAAGCAGCAATGACCGTAAAGGGCCTCGTTAGCCCAGGGGAAGAGGTGCTGGGGCTCAGCCAAGGAAACCTTCACAGGTCGCTTTAGGTGACCGTGGTGACTCCTCTGAATTTACTCACGGTGGGTTGACAGTGAGAGGCTCTCGCATCAGGAGAAGGAAGAAGACACTCTAAAAACAAGATGAGTGCTGTGATAACAGAAAAAATATCTCAGCGTGCCCTCATCCCTCCCTCCCCTCTCGCCCGCCCCCACTACCCCGTCAGAACTTGAAATCTGAGCCTGGCCCCTTCAATGCCCGTTTGACCCTCCCTCTCCCAGTGTGTGAACACTGCCCTCGGCAGTCTCCGCCTTGCCTGGGCTGGTTTAAGGGACTGCGTTTCCCTGCGCTGCCATAGCAACCAGAAACAACCTCCACTGCAGTGAGAAGGATGGTGCTGTGGCCGGGTCTGTAGGTGCGCTGGTAACAGAGCAACCGGACCAGGGACAACAAGGCCACAGGCAAAGGGGAGAGAGAGGTGGCCCAGAAAGTAGACAATCCGAGGCTTGAGGAGTTTGGGTTTGCGATTTATTTTTCCTCCCGACAAAGACACACACTGTCTAAACTGTGTGGCCGGTTGTTACTAAGAAGCTGCTGTATGAGGGGGAAATGCGTTTAATAAAAGGCCCAGTGTTTGTGGTCTTCTCGGGCTCCCTGCTGCGCTCAGGAAATCTTGAGGTGTGACCAGTTTTCAGCCTTCAAACCCACGATGAACGGCCCTTGAGAAGGGTGGTCAGAGGGAAAACATGTTCCCGCTGTCTCCCCTGAGCCGGGGACATGGCAAGTGGGTCCAGAACAAACAGAAGGTAGAAGTCTAT